TAAATTGCAATCAAAAAACAGGAATAATTTGTGAGGCGTTTTTAAGACTGACTTGGTTAAAAACAACGTGTCCAGTGTGAAGAAATCTCTCAGAAATTTAGATATAGAACTTGTCAATGATCTTAAAACCACCCGAGATACGGAAACAAACTCAAGTTGCCTTGATCTTTGCTTGCAATATATAGTAACAAAGGGTGAGGAACACTTTGAGTTGCGAGAGTTTGAATTATTGAGAAGAGAGTAAAGGGGTTCACTGAAAAAAATATAAGAACACGACTGGTATACTGAATTGAGTAAGTTTCACTTCTAATCACTCGTAAAAGTATCTCGAAGTCCGATGGATTTCGACTAGACACGTTGACAGGCAATTAGGATCAATTGAGCAATCTCACTCTATTCTGGGGTGAGGGGAGATAGCTCAATAGGCACTTGAGGCATGTTTAGAACCTCTTGAAATAATAGAATCAAGCCCCAGATATTCTCCAAAGCTTATGATATACCAAAATTCATGCTTTTGAGTCCAACTTTTTTTGTCATAAGTGAAGAAAAAAAATAATACTATGTTCATTATTATGGTGCTACATATCAAAATTAATTAAAAACTCCTGCTACCTCCGTCAAAATACAAAGAACCAAAAATAAAACCAGAAGATTTTCTTGATTTGCTTGCTGAGTAGGTAAAATAAATTAAATTGCAATAAAAAAACAGGAATAATTTGTGAGGCGTTTTTAAGACTGACTTGGTTAAAAACAACGTGTCCAGTGTGAAGAAATCTCTCAGAAATTTAGATATAGAACTTGTCAATGATCTTAAAACCACCCGAGATACGGAAACAAACTCAAGTTGGCTTGATCTTTGCTTGCAATTAATTCAAATGAAATGACTGTAGAGGCCCTTATTGTATCGGGTCATCACTCAATTCACATGACTTTTCCAACTAATACCAAAAATCAGAGCAAGCAAGAACCAATTAAAATATGGAAATGACCATTAAAACCTTTAGAAAACGATTATTTTGTTTTGAAAGCAAATTTATGTTTCTGGGATGAATTTACAAAAACTAAAGAGACTAACTTACTAGAGCATACGAAAGTGGATAACAACTGGATTCTCCTAATCAAAATCATAGGAGAACATTCCGACAAATTAATTCCAAAAACTCAGAAAAAACTGTTCCAATTGAAAAAAAAAACTAGGTGACAAATATTGTAGTAAATGCTTGTAACAGAAAACGAGCTGCCGCTTTAAAGAAAATCCATTTACAAATAAAATACTCTAGCTCTGGTAAAAATCAGCAAGAATTTTGAATCAGTTTGTCGCAAAGCCAAGGCCACGCACAATCAAACTTACTTAACACAAACAATTTCGAAAAATTTAATAAAAAATTTTTGCGGTGTAATTGATGAAAAAAGCAAAACCACTAAGCAAACTACGAAAAAATATCCGTCACCAGAGGAACTTAGTTCCCATTTTGAATCAATCGGAGAAACATTATCTGAAAAGCACAGAATATCTCCAAATTTAGCCCACATAAAAGAAGAAAAACACTGTATATGGAAGAAACAAAAGTGACTAAAATTTGCAACCTAATTAACGGACTTAAAGCCGTCAAAGCCGTAGAGTCAAAACATTTAAAAGCAAAAAAAATTTTCTGATTTAAAAAATGAATCAGGTTATTTGCGAATGTATATCAAGTCTAATTTAAAGATTAATGTTTGAATGCAATTTCCCAAGCTGCTTGAAAATTGGGAAAATTCAACCATATATCAACTATATATCAATAACTTTAATTCGAACTCTTTAATTCGAAAAAATTATGTTTAAACGGTTAGTTGATTTTTTGCAGAAGTAATAAATCTTAGCTGACGACCACTTTGATTTTCGTAGTAGGCAACAAAGATACATTGACTTGTACAATGCTCGACATTTCAAAAGCTTTTGACACTGTTGACCATTGAATTCCGATAAAGAAATGAAGAGCTTTTGGATTATGGGGGAACACGGAAAGTTTGATATCAACGTATTTGAAAGATCGGTTTCAATATGAAGTAGCAGAGAACAAGGTATCTAGATCATATCCTGTTGCCTATGGGGTTTCAAGAGGGTCAATTTTGAGGCTCTTCCTTTTTCTCTTATATATGAATGATCTGCCGAAGTTCTGTGTAAGCTCAAAAGTAACCTTGTAAGCCTATGCTTGTAGCCTAGCTGCTACAAAAAATAATAAAAAGACGCAAAAGCAAACCAATTAAAAAGTGTTAAAATTTGGCTGATTGAAAACAATTCAACTATTAATCAAGATAAATAGAATTCGGATCGAAATTGTCCCAAATGATTAATCACATTGCAGAAACGTCCCCAAAATAACCTTGGCCTTTAATTGAGTGACAAGCTGAATTTCAAGTTGCATGCTCAGAAAAGTTTTAAAAGAGTATCTCGAGATGCGTTCAGTATGTAGCACTTGCGGCAAAAATTTACTCAAAAGCAACTTCTAATCTTTCACAAAACTGATATTCAACCAATATATCAGTATTCTGTACTGAATTGTGAAACTGCTACAAAACCGATTAGTTAAAACTGAAAACCAACAAAAGCTGACACTTCAATTTGCAAAACACAGACAGTCTCCGAAAACTAAAACACAAGTGAAATATAAGTTCTGTTACATCAAAGAGTTGCATATGCATGAAACACTGAAGTTAATGACTAAAATCATAAAGTTGCAACACCAATGCTTACTAATCAATAGAATAATCACCAATCAAGACATTTATGACGCATTCTCAAATAATAAACGTAAAAACAATTTACAAAACACAGAAAAAATGATAAGCCACAAGAAAAAACTTAAAAATAGATTTCGTTCATTAATTAATCTTTCTTATGCCTTAGACACAAATTTAAATGAGGATTTTTTGAATTTTCAAATTAATTATTTAAATTCAGATCTGCATCTTATACGGGATCTTTATATTTATGATAACGAGCTTTTGATAAATGTTTTTTTTTGTAAGTAATCAGAAGTTAACTGTTTTCTATGTTGTTTGCTCATAAAGACACCACTTGAAAGGCAGCTAACTGGCTTTTTTGGTGTTCTTACAAGATGGTAAGTTTTTTAATAAAGTTTTGAGTTTTGTAGATAATAATCAAGTCTGTTCCCTTCTTGAACAAGAATTTATTATTATGATTTATTATACGTTTTTAATTGGCCTGCTGAAATCAGGAATAAATAACAAAGTTAGGAGGGCATAAATTTGAAGAGTGTGGATTAAAACCACGGGCGGATCCACGATATTTTCACAGGGAGGGATTTCAAATTGTTTTGATAAGATGGTCTAACTTGTTTTTTAGGTTAGCAAAATTGATTTAACGAAGCCTCCAAAAAAACTATAAAACTGTATTTTGCAAAAAAAACTCAAAAAGTCTGTTTTTGGGCATTTTTTGCAAGAATTTGTTCAAAAACTTTGTTTTTTTTTTGGTGGGTGCTACTCATAAAGCTTACTAGATATTGGCGGTGAAGTCAACCACAAAAAGGTTTTGGTATCCTGAAATAGTAACAAAGGGTGAGGAACACTTTGAGTTGCGAGAGTTTGAATTATTGAGAAGAGAGTAAAGGGGTTCACTGAAAAAAATATAAGAACACGACTGGTATACTGAATTGAGTAAGTTTCACTTCTAATCACTCGTAAAAGTATCTCGAAGTCCGATGGATTTCGACTAGACACGTTGACAGGCAATTAGGATCAATTGAGCAATCTCACTCTATTCTGGGGTGAGGGGAGATAGCTCAATAGGCACTTGAGGCATGTTTAGAACCTCTTGAAATAATAGAATCAAGCCCCAGATATTCTCCAAAGCTTATGATATACCAAAATTCATGCTTTTGAGTCCAACTTTTTTTGTCATAAGTGAAGAAAAAAAATAATACTATGTTCATTATTATGGTGCTACATATCATGTAAAAATTTATGGGTATTCTTTTAAAAGGGCATAGTAGCAAACTTAGTAACTTGCTTTCTTGTAATCAAATAATTTCCCAAACAAAAATACGGGAAAAAAATTTAAAAACTCAATGGAGATAGCTCAATTGCTTATTACGGGGGGATATTGCTCAATTGATCCGGCATCTAATTTAAACAGAAGGTCAAACTAAGATAATTAAAATGCACAATCACAACATCCACCCCCTAAACCGCCTTGCAAAGTTATAGGAGCAAGTTTCGAAAAACTGTATCAAAATTTAATAGGGCAAAAGTTTTCCAATAAATGATACGATGGCATTAAGCCTATTTTGTATTTTTTTTTACCAAAAGCATTGAGAAACTAGGCACAATGTCATCCTTGTATTTACTCAACCCCTGCATTTGCATTCCATCACTGCCTCCTCACGCATTCCCGTTTGTTTGAGGCCGCCCTCTATTCTCGCTCTATCGAGTTTAACTTTTCTAAACATTTGTTCACTCCATCCATGCCAAAAAAAGTCTAAGACTTAAGTGCGAGTAAAAATAGCATGTTCTCGAACCGAAAAAAACTCTTAATTCTTGCCAATTTCTTCGCTGCCTAGTCTGCCGAAATTGAACTCCAGAAATAAGGGCCATGATTTCTTTTCTTTCAAATCATCGACGGAGTTTCAGAAGTCACGTATAATCATCATTGCACAGAAGTCAGAAGTTGGGTTGAGAGACAAAACTTGATATTTTTTAAACTCGTTGCTGTCATCAATTGATGTGAAAAGCTTGCCGAAGTCATTGATATTTGAAGAAAAACCGAAGCTTGCGTTACACTGAGGGGCGAAAACTGTAGCCGATTCATTTTTTAACGATTTATTCCAATTTTTGATTGTTAATATCACTTTGTATTTTTTTTAGTTTTATTTCGTTTTTGCAAAATTGGAAATACGAAAAACAGCTCGATAACAATTTCGCCGCTCACTAAGTTTGTGCAGCCATTTGGGATATAATTAAAAGAGTACACGATCTTTTGCAAAGACTATTTGTGGAGGATGTTCCGAAAGGGGGGCTTACGGAGGAGTGGAGGGGGAGTGAGAGCAAAACCGGTCCCGGTGGAGTCTTCATCCTCCAACAGCCAATCACTACAGGTGAGAAGTTAGAGATAATAAAGACCTGCCTTATAATCTTCAAATTGTTATGCAAATTAGAAAATAAATTGGGAGATTTGGATTTTTTTCACTACCCCTTGCATAAAAAAAATAATTGGAAATCATAGTAAGGCGTTCACTGTAAGATCGTCAGAAGTACCACGTGAAAAGTCTTGATCCGAAAAATTTGCCTGAAGTCGCAAAAAAGAGCGTAAATCAGCCAAATAATCTAGTCTGGATTATGAGACAGAATCGAAACGGACTAAGATTAGAAAGCCATGATAGCCTTTGGTATATTCTCTGCGAATGGCAGAAACCTCAAATATTGTGATTGTTAAAGGATGGATTTGTTTCAAAATGAAAAATTCGTGGTTCTTTTGATTTTTCCTACTAAGATTTTTTATAAAATGAACTAATGAACCCTTACATAAGCATTGCTTGCTATTTGTAAATTTAGCGCGTGAGATATTAATCCAAGTTCGAAAACGTTTAATTTTGATCTACATCATTGTAAAATCAAACGCGTAAGGTTTTTTTGTTCATGCGGAAAGCTTATAATTTTGATGATTTAAAAAATGTGGAGGAACTCTATATTTGAGTGTGTTAGTTTTTTTCCGACCATTGAATTTTTTGAAATTTTTGAATTTTTTGATTTTTCGTCTTATTTCGAGCAAATAAAGCAAGCGAACAGCCTTATTATTACTCAAAAGCCCACAATGGCTTAATTTAAAACGTAAGACCTAATTTTTACTAAGATAACGTTAGTTTACTTAGAGTATTAGTTTACTTAGAGTATTCCTTATATCACACCGCGTCAAAACAAATCGACAAAGATTTGAAAAAATTTTTGTGATATTTTGTAAAGACTTTGATCTGAACATTCTGTGCCAATTGCACAGTAACCGGCTATCCTGGTTTTTATTTTTTGCTTTCAATGCGAAATTAGGTGTCATAAATAAAAATTGCAACCGTCGAGTGATATATCATATTAAAGCCCCCTCAGTCGTGACGCGCATAATTTGGAGAGAAACCATTTTGAAAATTTTGGTTTTTGTCTAATTTCAAGCTTTTGGAGTGAGGCTAAGCAATCTTAAGAAATCTTTTTATACCTCATTTATTTTAGATTAAAATTAGTTTCTAGAGTTTTTTTAGCGCCAATTTGAGAATCAAAAACTTTCTGCAAAAAATATGTACAATCTGCAATTCGAAATGTAAAACTTTTATACAATTTTTTTTTTCGTTTTTTTATTCATTTTCTAGAAAATCAATTTTCCATTTAGCTTATTTTACTATTAATGTCGAATAAACCTGATTTTTGTTTTTATTTTTCGTTCAGAATTTCATATCACACCACGCAGAAAAAAAACAACACTAACTTTGAAAAGTTTTCAAATTAGTGTCGTTTTTTCTGCGTGGTGCAAAAAAAAAATCCGAAAGAAAAAAAATTGAGGCACAATCAAAACGTGTTTTTTCAAGAATGGGGCTGGAACATTCTGTGATATTTGCACAGTAACTGTTTATCCTTGTTGTTCCGACCAGTGAAAATAGGGAGGAACTTTGGATTCCGGTGTGATTTAGTTTTTTTTTGTTATCCACGCAATATCAGCTACCACAAATAACCATTGGACAATGTTGAATGAATATCATATTAAAGCTTTTTTAGTCATGATTCGAGTGATATTAGAAAGTATCAAAAAAAATCTCTCAGTAACGAGAAAAGCAGTTTGAAGTTTTTAATTTTCGGTCTAATTTAAGCCGCAAAAACATAGTTCTGTTCAATTAAAGGCAGTTTTTGTAGTATTTTAGCGCTAGTTTGAGAATCAAAAGTTTGAAAATTCAAAAAATGTCCCTACAAAATTTTGAACAATTTTTCATAGTTTTTCATTTTTTTTTCTTTTTTTTCTGATCAATTTTCTTCAAAATTTGTTTTCAAATTGAATTATTTTAATATGGTTCTCGAATATGCCTAATTTTTTTGTTTAGATTTTTTTATCAGAATATGCAGAAAAAAAGCGACGCCAATTTGAGAAAACATTTTTTTTTCAAGAATCTTCTGGGAACATTCTGTGCTACTTACACAGTAACTGGCTCTCCTTGTTTTCGCTTGTAGTTACGGGCCAAAATCTCATCCTCTGAACAATGATATACACCACATTTTGGTCTTATCGCTACGTTTTTTTGCAAAAAGGTATTCGAATAGTGTACGGTTTTTATCTTGGCCAATTGCTAAGTAAAACAAATTCTCAAAAATCAAAAAAAATTTTCATCAAAATTCTAGAATCTGCACAGAAAAACGGCAGATATAAAATTAGATCAAACGCCCTTAAAAAACAAACCCGTTTTACATTTCAAATATGGCTTGAAATTGAGCTACCTCAAAGATTGTCAAATGCAACAGTATTTTTTTTGATAAAAAATTGTATATACTTGCTGATGAAAGGATATACAACCAAAATCATTTAAAAAGTTGAATTAAAGTCATTGAATTAAATTGATTACTCAAAATTGATTTAAAGATTTCTTTCATTGCATTTGAAACCCATGCTGTAGTCAGCTAGCGATTTCAATTTAGTTCGATTTCAACAAAGTTCGAATTTTAAGGACTACATGGCGCAGATTCTGTGGCGCGATGGCGCACACTCTGTTTAAAATATTATTTCATAACAATCTTCAACATGTTGCTGCGGTAACTAGAAGAATTTACTTTACTCAAAATTACAGAAAAAAAAAACAACTTCGTTGACAGAAAAAAAAAAAAGAAACAAACAATGTACAGAAAATTTGTTAAGAACAAAATTAGCAAAAAGAAAACTTTGTATAAAGAGACAAATCGTATTATGCATTGCATAAAGCTAAGTGAGAACACGCTTAAGCTTAGATTTAAACTCACTCGGAGCGTACCCTAATAAAAAACAAACTTAAATAGCGTGTATGAAAAAACTAAAAAAAAAAACAAAAAAAAACTTAATTTTTCCTTGCTAATTCATCCTCTAGAAAAGTGGACCTGTAAAATCGCAAGAACTTCCTTTAAGTTCCTGTAAATTCCTCTCTAGATAACGATTCGAAATCCTGAAAAATGAATATGTTCTATTGATGCAAAATGAAGCAACCCAATACTTTATTCCTACACTCAGACTTGATCAGTACAAAACTAGGTTGTCTGAAGACATTGCCTGATCTTCTGCAAGAATACAGTTCGAGCAACCCCAACCCACATCAGAACATAGTCATATGTTTATCAGGCTGCAAGTTTAAATCTGATATGCATATAAGGTGGCAAATAAAATTCGAATAAGTTCACTGTTTTCGAGTATAAAGACATCCCTCAATCTATTATCTATTAACAAAATCTTTCAATTCTTCTTTTTTGAAAATTAAAAAACTATTAGGCAGTAAAATTTTGTCGCTAAAAACTTGCATTCTGTGAGCCATATTAATTGATGTCTTAATTTTTGTTTGACAGCAAAAGATCTCAAAAAATAAGTTGTTTCTTTCAGTTTCCTTACGAAGAGTCGGAAATTAATATGGCATAGGGTAGGCTTTTATTTCTCGCATTTTGAGTGCAGCACGAAGCTCTCATGGAAGGTCAATTACAGTATCGTATTGATCCACCATTCATTTTTTTTTCGAAACAAGTTTAGAAAAAAGCACTTCAAAACAAATTTAGAAAAAATTTTAAGAAAAAACGATCAGATTTTTGTGTATTTTTGTTTATTTTTCAATTAATTTGCAACAAGTACTTTTTTGTAAAATTTTGTGCTCCATGCACAGCAACTTGATATTTTTGCTTATATATGTGGTTTAAGCTGGTGGCGGCAGTGAACAATAACTCGCCCATCAGTAAGGAGAATGACTCATCGTCCGCCTCCTTCCACTCTTTCACGGGTGGGGGACCGAGCAGTGGGACCACATCAGACGGGGGTCCGTCACCCAACTCCACTCCAAACAGGGGCCACAGCAGCAGCAGTAGGGACTACAGGGGGGACAGAGGGATGACTAGTGGGGACATGCACTTCACTAGTGAACTGGAATCGACAGGGTCATATCAGAGTGCGGAGAGCCTCATAGGTATAATTGACACCGTCTGTAAATTGATACTGTATGTATTTTTTATCCCACCAAAAATTTTCTCTTGGTGGTCGAACCGTGACCAAACATTTTTTTAAAGCATGTACTATGCCAATTAACACTTAAACTATCCTTGAGTTCATTGACACTTTCCCAACTGTCTGTTCGCTGTTTGTTTGATGAAATCTTTTTGAACGATTTGGCTATTTTTAGAAGCAGTATCAGTGAATGAGAGAACTCGACTTCCGGAGATAAATGCCGAGAATTACTTGGGTTACGAGACGTTGAAAGGCGCCACGAACAGTCGAAATAACATCAACAATAGTGCCAGTGACCGAACAATTGCTGGAAACGAGCAGGGCGACGTCAGCATCAAGAAAAAACGGCAAACTAGCTTCGCGAAGCCTGCTGCCGGTTCTTCCAAAAAAGGCGGCACTGGCCGAGTTGGAAAAGAGTTGCCGGCGCTGATGAAGGGAGGGCGTGGTTTGAGGGTGGGAAGAGGTCAAAGGGTGGTTCAAGTGTACCCAGCTAGGGGGGAGAAAAAAGAGGGGGAGTCTAGCAGCAGCAGTGACCAAGAGAAGAAAAAAGGCACTCGATTCTATTTTTAAAAATTCCAAAAATCTATTTTTACCAGTGAAAATAGATAGAAAAATATTTTAATTATTTTGAAAAAAAAACGTAGCTATAGGACCAGGGGCGGATTTAGGGGGGGATGGGGCGGTGGGGGGGGGGGGGACGCACCCTCCCCTTCTTAGGGATTCGACCCCCTGCCGACCCAAAGGGTCCCCCCTTTGATACTTTTTCAGAAATCCATTTTTGGCCGACAGACCCTGAAATTTTTCTAAAGGCGCCCTCGGCGCCAATATATACTAACTTTGATGAGCGCGCGCCAAAAAAAAAACGCGAAAGCGGCTTTTTTCAAAAAAATCCCAAAAGCGGCTTTTTTGACTGTTTTTTCAAAAATTTGCCTGCCGCGCAGAAAATTTAGCCAAAATAGGGGCAAAACATTGCTTAGGGAGAGCTCAAAAAATCTATTTGGTCGACCTAATAAAAAAAAAAGGTCGTCAAAACTTTCGAATTTTTTTGAAAATCCGCCCCCCCCCCTCGAGAAAATACTAGATCCGCCCCTGTATGGGACAAATAAACTGAAAAGTAGCTAGAGATGATTCGGAATTGAACTTTATGGATAATTATAGAAGTAAGGTTAATTTCAGTCCAGCAAAAATGGATCGTACTGCTTTGAAAACTAAATTGCTAACTGATACGAAATTTGTTTACAGAGGAGAATTTGGAGGGAGGCGAAGAAGGCAGAGGCGGAGCCGTCACTCCGATGGACAGTTACATGACCTACAAGGACACCCAGAACGGAGGATCAGCAGGCACGGCCACAGCCACAGATCCCAGCAGGAGACAGACAGGGTCCACACTCCAGTCAGGGGGTACGACTGCCACTGGGGCAACAGGTATGGGGGCATAAGTGGGGGGGGGGGGGATTAGGGTAAACATCGTCAAAAACTACAGTTAACCGAAAGCGACGACTCGGTTATATAGTGAGAAAATCTGACATCTGACAAATTTCCTAACCCTCCTGTCTCAGCGATTGAAGCATTCAGTATGAACTGTATCAAGGAGCTATTGTGCTAATAGTCCTGAATTAAATGAATTTTATCGAGTTCTTTTTTCAAAATCTTCTATTTGTCGCTTTCGGTCACCTGTCGCTTTGCATGAAATGTTGCCTTGCGAGGTTCGTATTTTATTTAAGCCCTGGGTGAACTCCATAGACCGAAAATGCTACTCATACAATTCCATGACCTTAAGTCTATAAAAATACTCATACAAATTTTATAGATTTTGCTAACTTCTTTTCTTATTTCGGCAGAAAAGCCATTGCATCGTCATAATTTTTTTTATATGGAAGTTGTATGACTAGCATTTTTTTGATGGCGACAAAATTTTTTTGAAAATGCCCCCAGCACATATTTTTGCACTCAAACAAACATTTATCAAAAAAAACTTATGCATGCAAAATGCGAGTAGTCCTGGATACACAAAAGTTGAATTTTGTTCCGTTTCTCTAGATATTTTTTTCAACACAGAAGCGAAGTTGCACTTCGCATATACAAGCTTAAATATGACCGATAACGCTACTGGGAAAAACTGATTGAGTATAAATTTGAGTCGACAAAATGTTTCAAGTGTCACACGCCAATTATGACGCATTAGCAGTACCAGCCAATTTGAAAAAAAGAAGTCACCAACTAACATGCCTCAATTTATAGAGCCGACGCATTTTAGCTAGTATACGAAAAAGGTCATTGAAAACTTCCGGCCGTGTCCACGTTCGAACTCTCTTATTTTGTTGCGGGTCTCCTTCCCTACGCTAAAGATCCATGATACCTAGAAGATAATTATTGATCAAAATGCACACTTCAAAATGGACACAATTTGTCGCAACAATATTTGCGATTTAGGTTGAAAAAAAGAGAGTTAATACTCAAGCACAGCATGCTATAACACAAGCTGTGCTTGAGTATTAACGCTTAACACGCCAATTCCTTTTGTATGGCATGTTTATACATGCCTCGATCATTCCTAGATTAATCAAAAGTTTTTTTTCTAAAATAATTTTTTGCCAGTAGTCCTGGATACACAAAAGTTGAATCTTGTTCCGTTTCTCTACATAAATTTTTCCATAACGCTTAACACGCCTATTCCTTTTGTATTGCAACTTAGTATATGCCTTGATCATTGCCTGATTATTCAAAAAATAGAAAACTTTTCCCAATATATAGAATTTTGTTACCTCCATTATATCGCATATGTAAAACAACTCTGAAACAATTCAGGTCGTTTTCAATGAAGAAGATCAAATTTTTAGTGACTCTACTTCTGAGTAAACCAAGGTATTCAACAAATTTTTTGATTTCTGATAAAATGCTTGTAATAAAATTTCCAAATTCACAAAATTCACTAATCATAAACCTTCCATGCAACTTTTTGTATTTATGGAGTTGCATGAAAAGTGTGCGATTAGCTTTTCCTATATATGAAATTGTAAGACTAGCCTTTTTGGTTCACTCGGGAGTTTTAATTTCTTCTCTGGTCTCCCTCAATGACTCGATTATGAGAATGTGTTCTAAAAGGAGCCAGATCTTTTTTTAGAAATACCATACGATGTGATGCTGTGTTTGAGATAAATTGACAGTTGTTCTCTTTAAAACTGCGTCAATAATATTAGTTTTGCTTTACAAATTAAATTAAGTCTAGAGAGTTAGAACGAAAAATATTTCAAACAGGAAATATTGATGAAAAAATTACAGGAAAACATGTCAAGCAAGGATAGTCTGTTGCTGTGCAAGTAGCACAGAAAGTTCCGATATTAATTTTTTTTTCATTTATCTTGATATTAATGTCTTTTTAGTAGGCGGTGTGGTTCGAGAACTACAAAAACGCGTACAAAAAGAGTGCTGTAGATCATAAATTGCAAAATTTGTCTGCAAAAATGAATGATAAGCGAAAAAGAAAAAAATAAGTAAAAAAATTTAAAAACTTTCTGCAATGTTGTGCAGAAAAATTCAATTTTCTTTTTGAAAACCTTTATTGACATGAAAACACTAAGCGAAACATCCAAAACTAGCTTTTTACAATAAAATTAAATGTTTTTCAGCCTAAAAACTTCCATTAGAGTACATATTCACATAATGATCGTTACTTGATCGCTTTACTTGCTCAAAATAGTGTAAAAAACAAAAAAAAATATTAAAACAGTTTTCTCGAAACTGGAACTTTTTTATGTGGTTCGAATCACGACTGAAAGGGTTTTAACTTGATATACCACTTAACCCAGTACGATAATTATTAGTGTGGTATTTGATTTGGCGTGGAAAAGAAAAAAAAACTAAAACACACCCGAACCCAAAGTTCTCCATTTTCAATGGTCGAAACAATTATTTTTAGGAACAGGTTCGAAAGTGAAGGACAGTATTTCGGAGGAACCCAAAGCGGAGTCAGCCACAGAAACTCAGGCTCGACAAAACAAAGGTATTCCTGCGAGCAGTTTAATTTTATATTTCCATGCATTCATTGAAACTTTTCCAACTGTCTGTTGGCTATCTTTTGACATAGAGGCAAATTTGCACTTCTCAAGTACAAAAAAATCGGTAATTCATCAAAAATCGGTAACAAAAAATCGGCAGCTTTTGAAGGACTTGATAAACGGCTTGGTTTAAAAAGCTAGTCTGAGCGTTGGATAACAACTCATAACATTAACATTCATAACTGCATTCAATTTCAGATGAAGATATCGAAGGTGCCGAAGATGGAGTGGCTGCACTTCAGGAGGCTAACAGGCCATCTTCACAAGCCAAACAGGGTCAGTTTTACTACAGTGATGATTTGATTTATCTGGACAAAGCGAATAAAACTTGAAATTTAAAATCCGCGTTTCTCAAATTGGGTTGGCATAATTTTTGGTTGACTGAATAAAATGAAAAATTATCAGTTCTTGGAAGAAATTTTCAGCCCAAATTTTGCAAAACAAATTGCACTGTAAGCACTGTAAAACTGTAAGTCACTTTTGTTTTCATCATTTTTTGTCTGAAGTTAACTTATATTGAGAAAAACGCATTTTAAATTTCATTTCTTATGATTTGACAGGATAATTTAAATCAGCACTGTATAATTGGTTACAAGGATAATCTCAGGGCAGAAGATCCAAATTGTAGAAAATTTGGACAAACAAAAATTCTTTTGAAATTTCAAAACTGACTACTCGGTTGCGTTCAGATTTACAGAGTTCTGATGATTTATTAACTTTTTTTTACAATACGTTCCTCTTGGAACGAGGGCTTCCTCGATTGCTAAAGCCCATCATTCAAGTGAGGCGATAGTATTCACCAAATTGTGAGCAGTGTCTGGAATGCACAGAAACTGTTCTTACTTTAAAAGCATCAATCTACTGGCTTAACTGTCTTTATGATGTTCTCTCGAGGAACAGTTGATGTCTGCTATTGAGATGAATTTATATAAGGGGATAATGAAAACGAATTGAGATGAAAACGAATTGTTTTAATTAAGACTACTCGGTTTTTTTTGCAATGCATTCTAAAAACTTGAGAGCCATGTTTTTGAAATTTGTTAAAGTTATTCAGTTCACGATCAATTACAAATTGTCTATTTGGCTATGCTTTAGAAACTGTTAGCTACCTCTTTATAAGTTAAACTGAGACAAAATTTCTAATTCCAAATTCAGTATTCCTCAAAATTTTCAGAAGTGAAGGAGTCGGTTGAGTCCAGTGGTACATCTGGGAGACCTCGGGAGAGGGGTCCTTCTAAGAGGGAGCTGGACTCCTTCCGCCGGCTGACAGGAGGAGGTGGGTGCTCGTTTTTGTAAACATTTTGTGACTTTATAAACATTTGACTACGCCAGTAATTTAAAAAAATAGATATAAAAATCAGCAAACGAGCACCTTACTCCTGTCAGAAATTGCTTTATGAAATTTGATGAGAAATGAAAAAAAAATTCAAAATAAAAAGGTGAAAAAAAATAAAATTAAACTCAATCAGTAAACATTCAAAATTAGCAGAGTACACATGTACTGAAAAATCTTGTTTGGCTTTCGAAAGTTTTAGATGACTACAAAAATCCTCTGGACTGCCAATGTTAAAGCAATTCGTCGTCAGTGACACTCATAGGTCTTTACAATTTCTACCAATGCAAAAAAAAACGAATTGACTGAATTGACCAACGTTTTATAACAGCTCAAGAATATTAAGCCTTATTTGGGTCGTGAGTTTTGACTCGTTTTTTTTTTCAAGAAAACAAACATTTGATATTTTGACTTTTTTAAATTTCAAATTCAAATGATAAATGGAAGCAAAATGTACTCTTTTATATAATTCAAATAAAGTGGGCGCAAATGCAAAGATGATATATAATGATATATAAATGATATATATCAATATATATGAGAAGTCAAATAAATGATATATATATATATATATATATATATATATATATATATATATATGATATATTTATCATAAATGTGATATATATATATATATATATATATATATATATATATATATATATGTGTGTGTGTGTGTGTGTGTGTGTATTGAAAATAAATTTTCTTGACTTAAACCGTTCGTAAACTGAAAAATGAGCCAAAAAGATAAAGCCGGTTCATTAGACAGTACAAACACTGATTGAAACCTACGCAATTGATTTTAACGTCAAATGCCTTCGTTCTAAGTCAATCCAATCCCTTCTTTCATAGGAAGCCACATACTTCAATTTTTTTTCAGTTTCTTAATGCAAATCAAGTTTTCATTAAGTTTGGGCAATTGATTTGATTTGCACCAGCATTTCGCTTTAATATTCAAAGCACTTCATCCGGATTCATTGAATAAGGACAAGTGATTTCGCTAAAAAAGAAATCATTCCGCGTTAGCGTCTTAGAAAACATTCGTTTTTCGTTTTGAAAGTGTATATGAAAAAAGCAAAAGTCAATCTGCCGCCTTTTAAAATTTTGAGCATGTACTTTGAGCATGAGCTACAAAAAAACGGAAAAAATTTATTCAGAATTGATCAAATAATAAGTTTAGAAATAAATAACGGATTGATTGAGAGTAATCTCAGTCACAATTACATTTTACAATTGAAGAGAATTTTTTATCATTTTGAGGTGTGATCAGATTGTGAATAGAAAAAAGTCAGTAACTTAGACAAAAAAATGATTATTTTGTTAAGAATAAGTGTAACATGGCTACAGTATACAATTATGAACAACTATTGAAGCTCTAAGAGCTTTGAAGCGAATTTGTTTTTTTTGTATCCAGATTTTCTAGGTTTTCTTAGCACATTTTTTTTCAAGGAAAAGTTTTAATAAATTACAGCATCTCTTGAATTCTATATCATATACCAAACTGACGCCTATTCGTTGCGTAACTAAAATGCAAAACTTAATACCTAGCCCATTTTTGCTTATGTTTTTTACAACTAAAAACAATAACCAAAAATTCAGAGATCTAGTTTTAACAAATATATGTTTAAAAATGGTTCTGTAGACTGGGAATTTCATTGAAATAAATGATTAATCGAAATCTTCAGAAGCACCTACAAACAAGCAGTTGAGGCCTACTTATCGTTAAAATTTTTCGCTTGTGTGCCTCAAGTGCGTCATTAAATACGGACTTACTTCTAAAACAATATCTTTGGATTTTTTCCATCTTTTAAAACTCTTTTGTTTTTTTTTCGAAAATGAATTCAAATTTGTTTACAATGAAAACGAAGTATCGGTAGTTGGAACTTTCAACTTTTAAAGCTATTTTCAAATTCATTTCCTAAGTAAGAAGCTTTTAACGATCTTCAACAATTGCGGTAATTTACTCAAATTACTGTATCTTTTTTCAAAATTAAACCCTGGCAATTACTTTAAAAAACTCTGAAAACTTGAAGAGTTTCAAGGCGACAAACTTTGTTCTTTTAGTTTGTTTTTAGTTCCAAAACACTTATTTCGAAGCTTTGGAAAAACTTTTTACGCAAAAAGCTCAGCCAATGATGTTACGGTAATGTTACGACCAATGATGCATGAAAGAATGTTACGGCCTCAAAAAAAGCAACTTTTTGACTTCTAAACAATTTTTGCAAAAACTTTTGACTTTTTTTCGAAACCTATAAAACTAAATATGGGATTAAAAGTCAAATTAAAAACTGTTTAGAGATTCCTCCCGATTTCGGCGGCTAAGCCCTAAGTTTTGTCGAAAAACTCATGGCTTTTGGGAAAGTCAAACTTTTGACACTTTTATCCTTTTTTGGAAACTGTTTGAACTTTCTCGAAAATTACCACGCCAAACGTTTCATTAAAGGATCTATCAAGAATTCGTCTGGGCATATTTTCTCTGCATGATTTGCTATGCCCTTACTCCTGTAGAAAAAAAAAACTTAATAACTCTCGGAAAAGTCAAATGGTTGAAATTTTGACCGTTTACCGAAAATTTGTTTACTTTCCTTTTAAAATTTTTGTAAGAAATTCGTTGTTCTCGGTAAAAGTCCATTTGCTAAAATTATTACGGCAATTGCAATGTTTTTAAACTTTTCAATTTTTTTCCTCAAATTAGGCTGCCAATGAGATTGAAAAGTCAATAAAAAACAAGTTTCGGGAATCTTTCTTATATGTTGCTGCCTAATTTTTGCAGAAAAACTGTGATGATTAAGGGTCAAACTAATTTCATGAAATTTGAACAATTTTACAAAAATTTTCTGGTTTTTCTCAAAAGCGATTAAGACAAATCTGAAACTAAGGATTCAATCGGAAGTAAAAATTGTGGTATTTGTCCCTGCAGAAGCAACTACGCTCTAATTTTTGTACAAAAAGTGTAAGTTTAGAAACTTTGGTCGTTTTGGAAAAATTTTTTGTTCTTAAAAACTGTCCCGCCAATTCTGAGGTTTCAATTGAAAAAAAAATGTTGCAAAACATGTTGAATAATTGATATCATTTTCTTCGTAGAGGAGCCGGTATTGTTTTACTAAAAGTCCATTTTTTTGAAATTTTTACCATTTTTGCTTGAAAACTTTCCATTTTTATGGAAAACTACCCAGTCAAATCTGACGTTGAGTTCAAATGAAACAGCAGATAGAAGGAATCGCGGTGATATATTACAATAAGTAGTAATTTTAAGAATTATTTGAGTAGTGCATGTATTAAAATTGAGAACTCTTATGCATGATATAGAGCTTCATTTTCAATCACTTGTAAAGGCTACTAAAATAATTTTTATACATAAATTACTCTTCCAGACGGAATGTTGTTGAGAAAACAAATTTTACACTTCTTTAGCCAAAAATTTGACTTTGAATTGAGTTACAAATACGGTTCGAAGTATAACAAAGAGCGATCCAGCTATTTAACTTGAATCTGCCACCTATTGTAATATATCACCGGAATCTCCCCAATAAAAGCGGTTAAACCCGTGTTTTGGTAGAAAAAATACTAACATTTTGCGTTAAGTCCAATATTTGAAAACAAGGCATTTTATCCCGTATGACATATATTCTAAAAATATCAAACAAGTACCTCCATCTTTAGCTGGTCCCTAGTCAGGGGCAGATATAGGATTTCCACGAGGGGAGCGGATTTTTAGAGAAATGTTCGAAAATTTTGTTGACCTTTTTTGTGTCGACCAAATTGATTTTCCGAGCTCTCCCAGAGCACTAAAAAGACCCTGTCTCGGCCTAATTTTCTGCGCCGCAGGCAAATTTATGAAAAAAGGCCAAAAAAATTGCGTTTTTAGGCGCGCACTCCCGTCTCAAAGTTAGTATATATTGGCGCCAAAGGCACCTTTAGAAAAATTTTAGGGTCCGTCAGAATAGTACAAAGGGGGGACCCTTTCGATCGGCAGGTGGTCGGAACCCTGAGAGTGGGGGGGGGGGGGTGGCCCTTAGTTGTCTGTTGGCTAATTTTATGCCGAAAGGCTAAAAAAATGTTTAGGTTTTTTGTCTAGATTTGAGCGGGGATACAGCTGTGAAATCTCAGGGGGTTGTGAGTACGGGCGGGGGAGGGAGTACGAGGGGGGAGAGTGAAGGCGGGGAGAGTAGACATGGGGGAGTGACCCCAATGGACGACTACACTGAGTACGACGAGCCCCCTCCCCAGGGAGGCACTCAACAGAACAAGGACAGCACCATGCCAACAACCTCGACTGCTAGAGAGGGCAAGTAGATTTTTCTCATACTCATTAGTAGATACGTTCTTAGAATTAGTGGTAAAGCGTTCACTTTGAGATCGTCAGATCGTGTAATCGATCCCCTGCCATGGCAATTATAGTGTGCGAGGACGAGCTCTCACTTGACCTCTAGCTTCAGGTCTACCACAGCCTGACCGATTAAGGCTGCAATAGTGGTACCAGTGAAAGCTCTCTAGACGCAAAAAACGGCCTTGAGTTCGCTCAACAAAATAACTGTCGGCAGTTTGGGGAAATAAGAGAAACTGACTAGACAGGCTAGATAGCCTTTCATAGATCCTCTGCGAATTGCAGAAACCACATTTATTTATTATCATTATTATTGTAATTTGCCTTTCATGTATGGAAGATATGGTCTTGTAAAATATTATTCCCGCGGTAAAGTATCAAAACAGAGGTGAAGCAGACCTTCGCATTACTTGCGATACACCACAAACGGGGCCTAGGAAATTAAACGATAAGCAAATTAGACGGATGCTACAAAAACGAAATTAGACGGAATTTATTTTTTACAGATCTGGCATTTTAGACGAAAGGGAAAGGGCCAACAAAAATTTTTCTTAAGAGTCAAGTTTCACAAATACAAAAAGAACATAAAATGTCAATACCTATAAAAACAATTAGTTTAAATGAACATAAAATGTCAAATCTGAATATTACAGGAGAGTTTTGAATTGAATAAATTATGCATGATTGACTTGTAAAGTTTTTGGCCACCGAAATTGAACTGTTGTCTACAAACGATTTTCTTTTTCTAACGCAATTTGTGTGCAACCAAAGTTAATTTCTTTCATTTTCGTCCATTTTCTCACAATTGCAGTTTTGCAAAACCGTCTAATTTCCTTTTAAGTACCTCCGTCTAATTTGCTTATCGTCTAATTTATCAACCCCCACCACAAACATAGCATGACAAATTTGCAGACAGAAAATCAGACGAACGCCGCTAAGTCGAATTTTTTTCCAAAAGTATCAAGAAAACATTACCAGTCAAAACTGTGCACTGGACAGGCACATAATTTTGAGCCTGTTTGTTCCTGGATTCTACAGACAAATCTTCAAACATAATAAAATTTTGTCGGAGCGATCAAAGAAAACGAAAGAACAAAGAGAGCGTCCTTATTGCGGAATCCGCTCACAATTCACAAAAAAAAACATATTTTGTCCTCGTAATAAAGCTAGATATACCAAAATTTTCATATAATTTTCTCAATTTTTCCGGATAAAGTTCACCTTTATAAAAATCAAATAAGGCAATTGAAAAATAAATCTGCAACGAAACAAACTTACGAAGCAGTAATGAAACCGAACACTTTTAAGCCAACTAAAAACAAAATTTATACCGACCTGAGTTGGTAGTTGCAAAAAATACCAAAAAAAAGAATCGAACGTGTATTTCAAGTGCAGTCATGCTCAAAAAGTCTGTTGTTTGACCAAAATGCATATTCGATAAAATGATTCAGTGATACTGTTGGTTAAGTTGTTTATAAATTGATTTAATAACGCTTGCTATTCTCAAACATGATAATCACATTCGTAATACTTTCGTGCACATTATTCCCAGGAGCAAAAAATTTAAAACAGTCCAATACTTTTATTTATTTGTTTTAAAATATTGAAGGAAAAACTTTTCAAAAAAAAAAGAAAACCATAACTCCGCAAAAAATCATGTAACTCAAGTACTTTCACCATTGAGGCTTTAGACATGTTATTTAGAAATTTAGATAAGCTGAAAATTCAAAAAGATTCCGTGCTACAGGAACTAAGCCGACTAAAAAAAAACAGACGGCCGATAATCCGAAAAAGCAGAAAACTTTGTTTGCAAACCAACAGGTGACGGCCAGATTCGACTACTAAGATTGGTCGTCTCAAGCAGTTGCATTAGCTCTACTTCAGATGCTCTGTATTGTTTTTTGATCCTGAATGTAGCATGAAGCAAGGTGAAACACGTATAACATTTTCTGACGAACGAAATCTTGTGAACAAATATCTTCACGTAACACTTTTGCTTACCGCAAGTAATCTGAATTTTTTTCTCTCAATTCGGTGAAATTAGTAGCCTACAACACCCGGGTTGATTTTTTCGCATACTTCTGTTCAAAAGTAACCATAGTTAGGTAGGAATAGACGACCGATTGAAGCGCGCATAGTTTTTTCTCTTAACGAAAGAATTCCCATCTTAAACTCAGAAAAATATTATTATTTTTCTCGCTCCTCAATAAAAAAGCTAAATACTTCAACATGGGTAACTCAATATATGATACGTCTCAAAAAGACATAATTATACTACTGCAGCACTTGTAATGGTTTAAATGTTGATTTCCAGAAAAAGGAGCTTCTCAAAGGGGGACCAGTCTCGGTCAACGGTCAGAAACGGGGGCCACTCAGAAGGACCCAACTGATAGAGGTACAATTTGTGCTCGCTTTTTGCTGATTTGAGTTAACAGCTAGATTAGAGAAAAACAAACAAAAAAAGAAAACTAAAAAAAATTCAAATTTGTTCCATTTTTTTGCACTTTAAAAAATTTTTCCTGTCAGAGAAGTGCCAAATGTAGCTTTTGAATAAGTTTTAGTTTGGAAAAATTAATTTTTTTTTCAGCCTAATCAGTTTAACAGGTTATCAACATTTTATTCGTTTGAGTTTAGACAAAAAACCAAAATTTCAAGCCGGTTTTTTCTCCATACTGGGAATTTTTTATGTTCGAATCACGACTTGAAGGGCTTTAATATTATTTACCGCACAACCCAGTCCAGCGTGGAAAACATAAAGAAAAAAGTAAAACACACCCGAATATAAAGTTCTGCCCCATTTTGAATGCTCGGAATAATGAAGGGTTTTGATAGTGGAAAATTTTTTTTCAAAAAGCATTTCTTTCACTTTCTCTTTAAATCTACATCTTATTCAAAGTTTTTGCTTTTAAAAGGATTTAATTGAAAATTAACGATTTTCTTAGTTAAATTTACCCACTTCGTCTGGAAATTTCAGACGGTGACGAAGAAGACTCAAAGCGACCGTCTGATAATCTGCAGGTGAACCCGGACGACGACGACGAAGACGGAGGTAACGTGACTCCGCTGCCCAGCACAGTCACAGTGCAAGACCCCGAGGGCAAGAAAAAGACTGCACAGCAGATGAAAACAGGTGACAAAAAGCCAAAACTAACAGTATTCATTTGTGGCAAAGTTAACATCCTTCCCCCTAAATCGGATGAGGGGGGAGGAAGTAAACTTGGTTCAATGTCGGTATTTTCAGCCCATCGTATTGAATTATTTCAACGCAATTATAGCAATTTCAATTCAAATTAAACAGTTGGGTGGATGATTTTAGCTTGATCTGTTTAGGGGGAGGATGCTAACTTGATCCGACATCTGTTAAAAACCAAAAATTTAAAACCAGTTTTTCTCGATACTGAGAAAAATTTTACAAATTTTTTTATGTCGTTCGAATCAGTACTAAAAGGGCGTCAATCACTACTAAAAGGGATGTCACTCGACCCATCCGATGATTGTTTGTAGTAGCTGATTTTGCGTGGAAAACAAAAAAAAATAAAAAAACAATTACACATCAATAAAAAGTTCCTCCATACTTTTCAAATGGGCGGAACAATAAAGCTCTATTTGCTTTATTCGCTCCATCTTACACTTGAAAATCATAAAATTCAAACCAGTTTTTCTCGAGTGAGAAGAAAGTTGCATATTTTTTATGTTCGAATCACGTCTGAAAGGGCTTTATTATGAAATATAACTCTACCCTGACCAATGATTATTTGCGGTAGCTGATTTTGCGTCAAAAAAAATTTTTAGAAAAAATTAAAACGCCCGAATACAAATTTCCTCCCCAATTTTCAAATGGTGCCGCAAAGTGTTAACGATTTAGATCCCAACAAGACAGAAGAGGCGAGTGAATTCAATTTCGACGAGAACCCGAACAGAGCCACATTCGCTGCAAGAGGTACACTTTTGGCGACACTATAAAAACTTATACGCTAGTAATTTACCAATCAGTTAAAAATTAAAATGCTCTAACACTACAGATGTGCATTCATACATATTAATTCTTTTATGAATGCATTTAGGTATATATGCACTTTTTGAGTTCAATTAAAATTCATCTGCTGAAAGTTACATAAATAGCACTCTCCAAATACGAACGTGCAAATGGCGTAAAAAACGAACGATTTCTAGATTCGAAAGTGAAATTTAATTTTTAAATTTCTAGCGCAGCGGAATGAAAACTTTCCCTAACGATCCGGTTTTCTCAAGATGGCTTAATAGTATCAGAAAGAAAAGTGCCAATCATAAATTGTTCTAGAAATTCAAAGAGCTTTAAGGACATCGATTTGTTCCTCGAAATCCTAAAGTTGAAGGTTTTTGAAAAAAAAACTCAGTTTTTTTTCAGTTTACTTGCGTTCATTACTCTTTTCCAAGTGTCAGTTGGCTATGATTTAAGATTTTAACCACTAGGTGATAACAAATAAAGTGTTTAAAACTGGAAGCGACTGTTTGCAGACAGAGATAAAAAGAGTAGCGTGGAGGAGAACTTGAGCGTGGCTAATATGGGAAGCACAAGCAGGAAGACCACCTCCAGCACACGAGAGAACGCCTACTATCCAACTGACCAGAGCAATAAGCAAGACATTGCGGAAGAGGATCAAGAGAGTGCAACTCTTACGGGACCCCAATCTGGCCGGGCGCCCAAGTCCAAAACCGGAACTTCCCCAGATGGTTCTGGACCTCCAAAGGAATCGGTTGAAGCGGGGATTTCAGATGAAAACACTGGAGTAATGAATGAAGGAAAAAAGCCTACACAATCGGTCGAAGTTGGAGGCCCAGTGGAAGAAGAGGGAGTTTTGGACGATGGGGCTAGACCTTCCAGAGAAACCTCTAAAGGAAGCGGCTCGCAGCCAAAAACAGGAGTTTTGGACGATGGTACCCGACCCCAGGCGTCGGAGGCGGATGACGGAGCAGATTCTGCACAGCC